TAAAAATTGCATGCAGGCGTAGCCAGGCTACGCCTGCAAGCAGGCTGCTTGCTGCAGGCTACGCCTACAGCAGCAGCCTGCTTGCTGCAGGAGCAAGCTGCTGGGAGAGAGCCGTTTGAACGGCTCTCCCCCCCCCTCTTTTTTTCAAAATTTTTGGTTTTTTTTTCTTTCGCGGGCCGTGGGATAACCGTGGCCCGTGAAGCCTAAACCCGCGGGTCACAACTCTTTGGCCCGTGAACCGCCCGCACGGGTCACGGGTCGGCCCGCGGTCCTGATTTTCACGGGTCGATTTTCAGGAGTCATAGCCGGCCCGTCCATCTTGACACCTCTACACAACCACCATCTCCTCAAATCCATTACCGTCAAAGCTACCACCTTCGCCAATAGTAGCACAACTACCAATGCCACCCGTACCACCACCACTGTCTCCTCAAATCCATTATCGGTAACGCTACCACCTTCGCCAACAGCAACATAACCACCAATGCCGCCCGTACCACCACCACCGTCTCCTCAAATCCATTATCGAAAACGCCACCACCTCCGCCAACAGTAACACAACCACCAATGCCGCCCGTACCACCACCACCGTCTCCTCAAATCCATTATCGAAACGCCACCACCTCTGCCAATAGTAGCACAACCACCAATGTCGTTGCACCACCACCACTACCGTATCCTCAAATCCATTACCGTCAACACCATCGTCGCTACGACCACCACAACCACCATCTACACTCTTCACCACCATCTCCACCACACACACCATCCCACCAACCAAAAAAATCCTCAAACCTACCATCATCACTACCGCCATTACCACTATGACTAGCACTAACAATCACTACCAATCCACAGCCACCACCACCACCATCTCCATCATAGTTGCCACTACCAATTAATCAGTCACAACAACCACCATATATTAACGTCTCTGCCACCACAGGCACAGCTACCGCCACCGCCAACACAAACACCAAACCCACCACCATCGTTCACTACCGGAATAAGAAGCCACAGTGGCGTTCGACAATCCACGAGGCAACGATGAGCTTGCTCTGCGCACGACGACACTCAGTTTGCCGTCATATGCTGCTTCCGTCGGTGAAGAGGAAGAGAGAATGAGAAGAGAAAAGATGGTAGAAAAGAGAGAGTGGGGAGACGGAGACCGCCAACACAAACACCAAACCCACCGCCACCACCCACTGCTAGAAGAAGAAGCCACAGTGATGAGAGAAGAGAGAGTGAGAAGAGTAGACGGTAAAGAAGAGAGGAGACCGAGAGAAAGAGAAGTAGAAGAAAATTGGATTGGGATGAAATTGATTAGGGTTTGGAATGAAATATCTTATTTTTGAAATGTGAAACTTTGTATCTGAAATTTGAAGTTGAATCTTGAAAATTCTGGTTTTGTATGATTTCCACAAATTAAAATTGAACCGTCGGTCCAATTTCGTTTTATGGAGTGATACTTGAGTAAAAAGTTTCATTGCTCACTGAACTTAGCATGCTGTCACGTTATGGTCACCGTACTTTGATTTGCTTCCAACTAGTCATTAAACTTACGAGAAAGTCCCTACATCCATCACTCCATAAACAACCGTTTGAATGGCTTCTCATGTGGCATGATGGTATCCTCCCTGTCAATAGACGGTGTTATCTTCTTGCCACGTGAAGAAATGTTGTTGCAAAAACTGATTTCATCAGTTGGAAATGAAAACACAAAGGCGAAGGAGGAAATCCCCAAATCTCTTCCTGGAACAAACCCTAGAATTCGATTTGTACAAATTGCTTCTCTTCCAATTTCAAAAATCCCCACAGTAGATGATTTCTAATCCCTAATCCTCCATCCCTCCATCATGCCTCATCTTGTGCTTGAAGCAACTGCAGGCTCTAGATTCTTCGGGGGAGTCGCCTACAAGTGATTATAATAGTGCTGACTTGGTAATATGTTGACGACTTCAATTGAGTAGAATTATTTTTATTTTAAAGATTGCAATCCCCATCTAGATAGGGATGGAAAAGTGTGATACCAATTTGAGGAAACAGAGCGATCAAATTGGAAATCCAAATTGTTTGTATGAAATTGATTTTCGAAAATTCTTTTCAATTCAATTTTAGAGCGATTTCAGCAAATGAAAATTCCTCTGGAATACACTTATAAGCTGTAAGATATTTGTTATAGAGATTGATTAATGTACATGAAAACACATGTTCCGTTTTTGCTTCAGACGGTTCCTTTGGCTGGGAGTTGGTGTTGAAATAATGTATGTGATGTCAAGTGGAAAGGCTGAAATTAGTAGGTTGAACTCGGCAATGGACGAGACAACAAAAGTTGTTTAGAATTAAAAGCTGAAATATCGAGAAGGAAAGCCTCTTGTCATCTGCTTTGACTCTTCGAGTTGCTTTTCTCGAACCTGATGTGACAGGACAATGAGAGATGACAAGTTGAAGTCGGTGCAGGACTCCAGCACAACATTTTTTGATTTTTAATGGATGTTATGGAACGAGAGTTTTTCGCTATTCAAATACGACATAAACTAGTTCAACTTCAATTAAGATTTGATCAAGCACACATTCATGCACAACTTCACATAATTATGTTCACTCCCACTCAAACAAGTCTTTGCAAATAAAATCAAAACAGAAGCCACAAAAAAGGAACACATTCAATGGAAAAAAGGAAATCACCATTCAAAAGCACCCATATCCACAAAAACATTAACATCTTTTTTCACAAAGGTCATCTGTATACATCACAAAAACTCCCATACAATTTACATTACTTATCCACATTCATGTTCTAATGTTCAGTCCACCAAAAGTATCAATAATAGCAGCAAAAAAATGTTCATTTCCTTCATTCATTGTTTCTGCCCGTGTGTTTCTGCTATTCCGGATCTAAGCTCACTTGTGCCCATTTCTCTAGCAACCATAGGGGTAGGCAAGAACCGCATGGGATGTTCTTCAACTGGGTTATGGTTTTAAGCTCACTTGTTCATTAACCGCTACGTTGATGTTCGATTCAACTAGTTCTAATTCTGCTTCGAACCATTCCTGTTCGAAAGAAACCAGGAAAGCAATGCACAAATAAGAATGATTAATATTTCAAGGCATTTACTGAACACAAACCGAGAAGAAAATGTACACAATACATGCTTAAAGGCTTTACATTATTTCCAGTTGCTTTTTCAGGATACCTAAATATTAGTAGAAACTGTTTTTTCAATACATAACTTAAATCAAATAGTGAAGTAACATTACAAGACAACTTACTTTAAGGGACATGCAATAACTGTCTAAGAAACAGAAACAATGAAACTACACTTCCATCGTCAATCATTTTGGTCATAGCTTTCACCAAAAACTTATGTTTTAAGCGTGAAGACTGGCTGAAATCCAGCATAACTGCACTTGAGCGATGATCCAGATCCATCATCTGAATTAGATTTCATAACTTTATGCGAATTTGAAGATATTATCCAAGAAGAGAAATATTTTCCTTTCAATTCAATGCAGAAGTATCCAAAACTAACCCAAACCATAGAATGCCCCAATTGTTTTCCATTATTCATTTGGTGAATCCAAAAATTTGATCTTCCTTTCAAGTTTTACCATTCGCCTTTTGGCAATATTAACCTAGAGGTAAAAGAGGACTCTTGTGTAAAGATTTTCCACACCTCCCAGCGCCTTTCAACATGTAAGGTTTGGTACACCAAATCTTATCTCGGAACAAGGTAGGGGTTGATGATTAATCAATTTTTGTACCAAATATCTTACAACTAAAAAGAATATTCCAGAGAAATTTTTCATCGGTGCATATATATGATATATAATTCTCATAATATATTTTGCTGAAATCTCTCTAAAATTGAATGAAAATAATTTTCAAAAATCAATTTCATAGATACAATTTGGATTTCTAATTTGATCGCTCTTTTTCTCTAATTGGCATCATACATTTCCATCCCTGTCCAGATGTGGATTGCAATCTTTAGAATAAAAAATCATTCTTATCAATCAAAACAGTCAACATATCACAATAAAACTCAACATTATTACAATCACTTGTAGGCGACTTACGCGATGAAACCATAGCCTGCGGTTGCTTCAAACACAATATGAGGCATGATGGAGGGATGGGCGATTAGGGATTGGAAATCATCTGTTGCGGGGATTTGCAAATCGAATTCTAGGGTTCGTTCCAGGAAGAGATTTTGGGGATTTCCTCCTTCGCGTTTGTGTGTGCATTTACAACTGATGAAATCAGGTTTTTACAACAACGATTCTCCACATGGCAAGAAGATAACACCGTCTGTTGACACGGTGGATGTCGTCGTGCCACATCAGATGCTATTCAAACGGTTGTTTGTGGAGTGATGGATGAAAGGAATTTCTAATTAGTTCAATGACCAATGAAAAGCATATCAAAGTATAGTGACCACAATGTGACAACATGCAAAGTTCAGTGTGTAATGAAACTTTTTACTCGTAATAATTTAGTAGAACGATTTTATATGCATACATGGTAAAATTGTTAATCGAAATCGCGGTATCTCACATGTCGTTCGTCTTGCCATTTTGTTTATCTTTTACCTAATTTACGTTTAAGGTGTCATGACTTGAGTAATTTTTTTTTTCAAGATGTCGTGGTGTGGTGGATGGTCGTGCCACATGTATATATATGGTCACAATGAATTTTTTTTCAATTGACGTATTGGACTACTATCAAGCTTGATTGTCTAGCTCAGTGATCCATTAAGGTCGATCAAGTTGACTTGATTATTAAAACCATAAAGTAAATAAAACGAGCTCCTTTACACTTGTCGATCCAATGATTTTTTTTTTTTTATTCTAGTATGATTTTTTATTTTATAAAGAATAAATTTTTTGACTATATATATACGTATTCTTCTTTTACATTTTTCACACAATTTTCCATCTATCAGACAATATTAATTTTCTTCAATTATAACTTAATCGTATTTATAAATATTTAAATAATTTTTTTATTCACATATTTCGAAGAATTCACAAGTATTTTTCAATTTTTCACTACTCATTGGGTGTGTTTGAGCCATTTTATCTTGAAAGAATGTATTTTGAAATAGTAGATTAATTGAGAATGTATGGTTGAAAAAGAAGGAAAAATTATTGATGTGATGAAAAATATTATTTTATTGAAAAATGTGTGATTGAAAATGAGTAGAATAATGAGAATAAGAATTTTAATGTGACTCAAACATTGGCTTATTTATAATTTTACAGTTGATAAAGACTTTTCAAACATGGAAGCACGTCATATTTCAAATAGAATGAAAAAATAAAATAAGAGAAGTCATTTGGGCGGACTAACATGGGATATTGGCATGTTCCGTTCTTATATTTGGAAGATCTCAGCTCGAGCCATATTTTGAAACTGAGTTCAAATTCACATTGGGCTTGAATCGAACTAATAGTATGTGGGTCTCTCCGGGCCGGCCCTGC